GTTTATACAGAGTTAAATGTGATTCTGCCTTTGTCTAGTCATGTCCTTGGTGTTAAATCACAGTACAGGAACTGTCTGTACATTAGTGCTTAAATTTATTTGTCAAGATTGGGTATATGAGTTGCCTTTGGCCTTACCCCCCCTCCCCCCCACCACAAACTCTTATTGAATAAAAGAGTTAGAGGGAGTAAAATGGGAAGTAGATCAGTCGAAGTAAGACCTCATGGGACTTTCAACCAACGTGAGGCTTATCTTCCATAATATTTTAGCATAAAATGTGATTGAGAGTTTACGTTTACTTCCTTTATTCTCTCTTGTATAAAATACTTTTGTTATTAAGATATTTGTACAGGTGTTTCTCCACTCCGTTCCCTTTTTTGAGATGGGGTTTTACTACATGGCTGATTGAATTCCTGGACCCAAGTTATCCTCCAACTTCAGCCTTCCAAGTGCTGGAATTATAGGCATGCATCACCACACKTGACTTGCCTTTTGACCTTRTACCTCATGTTTTCATATGATTTTAAGGCCATCTGTCATTTCCTTTGTCTATATTTAATTTACTAACTCAAAGACTATGTTAAGGAGGAGGCTGAGTACAGTAAATATGTTCCAAAGACAAAGCAGAATAAACTATGCATATTGATACAGGTGAATATTCCTTAGGACCAGAGGTTTTGAACTTCATATATTTTCAGATTTTTGAAATATCTACATATACATAATGACCTATCTTGGAGATAAAACCCAAGTCTAAAAATGAAATTTACTTAGTTTTCATATGCACCTTACACAACATAGCCAGAAGGTATTTTATACAATAGTTTTAGTGTGCCTGTGTTTTGGCCATGACCTATCATGAGGTCATGTGTAGAATTTTCTACTTATGGTATCTGTCAGTGTTCAAAGAATATTGGGTTTTGGAGCATTTCAGATTTCTGTTTTTTGAGATTATGTATGTTCAACTTATTATATTTTGGTTATGGCAGGATCAAGTGATCAAGCAAAYKGTAATCTYTCTGAGTATAGAAAATTATCCTATATTTCTTTGAATTCTCCATAGCMCAGTAAYTGTTAATAGGATCATTGTTTCTACTGAGGTAATTTATATTTATATTTAAAATTTTTCTCTTTAGGGCTAAAGAAATTGCCCTCACAAAGTGAAATGATGGCAGATATATCTAAGACTCAAGAGGAAATGGCAAAAAGGTAAGAAATTCTCCCAAGAAGATGTATGTAACTTTTTCTACTTATTCTTGATAAGAACAATATTATCCTACATTTAGTTTCATCTTGTTAATTTGAGAATCCTGGTTATATTGTGATAGGAGGGGAATGATAGTGGTGACAACAGAATGGGGAAATAGTACTAGCAGTTTCAATGTGGAGGGAAAGGAGAGAAAATTCAAGAAAGTGTATAAAGGCTATGTTTAGGATCTAAAAGAAAAGTTAGATAGGGAAAAGCTCATTGAGAAGAAAAATCAGGTATATTATTTTGGGGAGGATTACTTGAAGTATTAGAAAACTATGTTGAATTAATGATAATTTCAAATCTTTAAGTAGATTCACAAATCTGAAGTGACTAGTTTGCTGGCTATCATCAGGTGGACAGCACACACAGGTTACAGTGGCTGAGCATGAAAACTCCATGTGATTTGGTAAAGTAGTAACATCAACTRGCTGCTTAGTACTTTGGTGAACACGATGA